ACGTACGGGATCCATAAACCAACCTGGCAGTTAGTATTCTACTGTTTGGTTTTCTGGATTTGTACCTTAAGCGAAGGCTAGTTTAAGAGTTGGTAAATCAATTAGAATATATGTACCTTAAACTAATGACCTAGCTTAAGAGTTGGATAGAAATACCTTGAACTAGAACCAATTTAAGAGTTGGTAAACATCAAAAGATTGGCCTTATATTAAGCATAGTTTAAGGATATTGTGGAATAATGAATATTGAATAAGAATGATTGAATGTTGAGGTACTGAATATTGAAATGACTTGAAATAAAATATTGAGAATATTATGAATGAATCATATATTGTGTGCATGAAATCAAATGGTTAATTATGAATTGAGATTCAATTTATGTGGAAGTTCGACGTGTAGTGTGTAGTGTGTTTTATTTGCTACACGCAGATAGACAAGATGAATGATTGGCTTATCCTGGAAGCGGAAGGGGCGAGACAGTCGTGGTGGATTTATTGAATGAAATAAATAATTATGTTGTTATGAGACATATTTTAAAGTCGCTTCCTCATTTTATTTAAACACTCCTTATTTCTCTTCAGCTATGTATGGAATATTATTTATAATGAATAAAAATGTTTGAAATGTTTTCAATTATCACGATTACCAAATCAATACTTTAGTCCGAAAGGGGCTGCAGACCAGGACGGATTGGGGTGTTAAAAAGAGCCACTGATACTAAAGTTAGTAAACACATAATAAAATACGCACAACTTAGATCATCGTGAAGTTGAGAATTCTGTTGGAGTTGTGCCCTGATGGCCAACTGTTTATCGTTATTCTATCATGTATAGGCAGATATAATATGTTTACACATCTCATGCTTATGTAAACAAATATTATATTCCTAGATTTATATTTAAAGATGTTTATCAGATAGTGTTATTCTGCTGATGAGACTAACATCTTAAAATAAATATTTATCTAAATGTCCATAGTCGAGTATTAACGAGAGTGGGATATCGTTAATGCATGTGAGACTAGTGTGTGTTGGATGTTTGACTTAGTCTCATAGTCAACGACAGTGTGTTCGCATCCGCACATGGGTAGATATTATCTAGAGATAATAGGATGCCAGACTGACCCATCCTAAAGATGTTGCTTGAACTTTTAGTTCATGCTCTAAGCATCTTTAGCGCGACCACGGGTGTAACTATCCTTCGACTTGAAGTATTACGTTTTCTGCATATGTGAACCCGCATGCTTTGATGCATTGTCCTAAGCCATATGAAATAAGGATGGTATACAGGCTTTGTTTTGGGTATGCCGTAGCGCATATTCAGAAACGTAGATTACGTACATAGGATTTGTCACTACTCTTTTTAAAGAGATTAATGTCTTATAGGGCCCACTGATAAGTTATGATTGAGGAAATTGCATGGCCATGCTGAGATGTTTTTATGACGTCTGTTCCTATCAGTCAAACTTGATAAATCAGTGAATGACTTAATGGATACAAGCTGGATTTTATTAATCCCTTGCATTAAGTCTAGACATTGAGACAAAGGGATACAGTTACACGGAGTCTGAGTCGTGGAAAGGTTTTGACGGTGCAAACGTCTTAACTTATAATCTGGGGGCAATAATGTATTGCTAGATACCGCTTGTTGCTTAGAGTATTGGTGCAGAGCCAATACTGTGGCCAGCTTTATAAGTGCCTATACGGGTCACACACTTTGGACAATTTAAGGAGTAGGATTAAACAATGGGATCATAAGTAATTTGTATATTTGTAAAATAGTAAAATAAAATATTTTGGAATATAATATTATATATATGATATTCGGTTATATATATATTATATGTATTTGTACTGATTAATATATATATATATATTATATGTTGAATATTTTATTTTGGTTTGTCATTTTAATTATGAAAATAATTATTTTGACATAAACTATTTAAAGTATATATTTGTATACTTGTTTAAAAATGATATGGGTATTTTTATTTGATTTAAAATTAATTTTATGTTAATTTTTGGTGTCAAACAAAATACACTTTGAACATTTGAGTGGAGAAGAATTTTGAAAATCCTTCTCACAATCAAACATTCGGCCATAGTGATTTAGAGGATCAAAAATAAATCTTTGACATAGTTTCATTATTTTTATCCTTTTGCTAAATGACAAAGTTTGATTAATAACTTTGTAATGTTTTAATTTCTACTTAATTGATTACACGACACTTTGAACGAAACATTTTATATAGATATGAAGATCATCATCTTGATTTATGCAAGTGTGGTTTTCGGCCAAAATTTTCTAGTGAGAGAAAATTTCTTTTGTGTTCCATTAATATCATTTTGTGTATAGAAAATATATATAATATTTTCTAAATATTATTAGAAATATTTTCTATAAGAAATATACAAGATTATTAATATCCCAAATTTTAATCTTTATATTTTATACTACTATAATCTTTACTAGCATAAAGATTGTGGTAGACTCCGGCGTTGTTCATGTGTCAAAGTTGGAGACCGGACACTTGAATGGTTACGTTTGCACTTTCAAGGCTCTTCCTACGACTTCTTCGTTTTTACCGCTTACGGAGAAAGGTATAAATTTCTTACTCACTATAAGTTTTAGTACGTTATTCTGGGCAAGATAATCATGTTAGGATGTTAAAATTTTTATATTCCGATGCCTATCCTTGCATGGTTACCTTTCAGTGGTATCGGAGCCAACGTACAAAACTATAGTTTTAAGTTTGACTTTTTAAATTTTAAAAGTCAAATGTTTAACTTGGTAATTATTAAAATTCAAAAATTAGTAAAATGATTTAATTTAGTCTTGGAATAAGTATTGGACTAAAATAAATCATTGAAAATAAATTTTAAATTTATTTATTTTATTTCTACCCGATATATATATATATATATATATATATATATATATATATATATATATATATATATATATATATATATATATATATATATATATATAT